GGGATAAAGAAGTTAATTAAAGTCATTGTTGCCTTTTAATATGCCACATAGCAAAGAGTGCTTTAAGGTAATCTGTGTTGCCAACCCCAGAACAGCAACTCCAGGGAACTGCTGAAAGTCAGAAGCAGATGGATAAAGACAGTAAATTACTGCAAAGCTGTAGCAATAAAAAAAAGTAAAATTAGGAGGCTGGCTTAAAAGTCAGGAGATTTAAAAATTATACAATTCTTTATATTTTCCTTTTTGTTTCTGAGCCTGTAGGATCTGTTTGAGTCAAGTTTTCAGATTACTCTCAGCAATGGAATGCAAGAACTAACGTTTTCTTGCAATACAATCTGAATTACTCAAATCAAGATGGAATTCCAGGAACTGGAACTTAAATGAAAAAGCAAAATGTATGAGATGCTGCAATACTAAAAAAAAAAAAAAGAAAAAAAAAAGGAAGCAAAAGAAGCACAGTATTAACAGAAGTTATTTTTCTGCCTCAAATTTTAAAGAGAAGACTGATGTAACAAAATCCAACCCATAATCTAAGAAAGATAAATCATTCCTCCTCCATAAGGATTTCACTGCTGTAACTTGTAAAGTCCATTGAACTGAACAGACCTCTCTAGGAATAAAGATCTTGGGAGCATTCCCATTTTTTCAAGGCAAAAAGGACAACTCATGCATGAGGCAGTAAAGTTTTGGCTGTCTCAGAATACACTCAGTGAAGTGGCTCTTTGTGAGTTATCTAAATCTCTTCACTTATACACAGTTGATGTTTCTAGACATTTGGCTTACTGTTTCTGCTCTGGATACTGATGTCGTCTTCTGTGAAAGAGAACTGTCCCCATAATTTGTGTTAATCTTCTGCATTGTGCTATTTGCAGTGAAATTACAGTGTAATAATTTGCAGCGATTTCCTTGACCTCCAATTAGGAAACGTCCTACTGTGCTTCAGGCAATTTATTTTCCCCTAGTGGAGTATAAAAATATGTCTACAGCTACAGCCTCTGTGATGTTATTTCTCTATCAATGACAAACTTCAGGGAAACATTAGGAGTGAACTGCTGTGACTTACTAATTGAATGTTTGCCTTCAAGTGGACTATTGTTGGTAATCTTGGAAAACTGTTCAAACTGAATGTGTAGACTGGCATGAAGTAAGGCAGAATCTCACAGCAAAGATTGTCCTATTTCTACAAAATTAAATTTGAAAGGAGCAAAATGGTAGCCAATGTATTTCTAAACAGCAATGACAAATATAAGCTTTTAATTTCTTCCAGAAAGAGCAACATAGTGCAAAAGAAAAGACCAAAACTCCCTGCTTCTCCACCTCTGCTTCCTTCCCACTCCCTCCCCCTCTATCCCAACCTCCGCTGCCCTACAGCACTTATATTACTGGAATACAGGGAATTTCACCTGCACAGTTTAACCACTTGCCAAACCGACACAGGCTATTCCAGTCTATGCATGATAACCATGTCTATAAAACTTTTTCTGGCTTTAACATAGGTGGTATAACCAGAGTGGCAAAACTCCCTGTAGAGACCATGCCTTGGCACAAAGCTTGGCACTGAAGACAACAGAGCTCTGATTTTGTTCACAGTCTCTAGCATCGCTGACAGGTACCTATAAAACAACAGGATTCCTTCCTTAATCATTTTTTATCCTAGAGCGGTAGTGATCCCACTGTGCTGCTCTGTGAATGGTTAAAGGGAATAAAAAGAAAAGTCTAACACCAGTAGGAGAAGAGGGTATTAACAATTCCTGACAGAGTTCATCCTAAAGTTTAGGTTTAATTTTAACTGTCATAAAAAAGTATTTTAAATAACATTCTACAGGCCTGAAATTCTGTGCTCCTAAAAGTAAAATCAAATGCTGTAAATAATGCCAGATGCCCTGAACTGAGTCCATGACTGAGTTCATTCTTGAACACATGCTGCTGTACATAAATTCTTCATATCTTATGTTCTCTTAATTCTGAAACCATGAGTTCATTTTACCACTACTGCATATAGTCTTGTTCAGTGAAAGTATTACTGTCATTTGATCCACCAGTCCTCAATCCCACACACAGGAAACACACCAGCAATATTCATCTTTAATTTCTTCTCCCTCAGCCATCATCCCTGTAGCCATTGCTCTTCCAAGACGATATAAAAACACACCCTTTTTGGCAATGGATATTTCCTTTTAACAATGAAAGACAAATTAAAAAGGATACAAGTCCGTGGCTGACCAAGAACACTCATCTGTATAGCCTGCAGCAGGAAGGATGTCAAAGTGTAATATGTGTCTGAAAGAATCAGAGGAAATGGCATCATCAGAAGGTTTTGATCTCAGGTGGGAAAAAGGAAATTCAAGACTGATCTGGACTCATAGGTAACTTAAGGATACTGCTGAAATCTCTGAGATGTCCTAAAATCGAAATATTTATGAATATACATAAATACTTAGCTAAATGATATTATGATGCAGAATGGAAAGGTCAGTAGTGAGAAAATTTAAATATATATTTAACTATTCCTCCCTACTTACCAATTGCAATTAACTACATGACCATTGCTTGTTAGGAGACATATTTAAACCTACCCAGCCTCCTCTCCCTGGAAAGAAACAATCAGCAAAACTATCATCTGTGTAAAACACTTCTGTACTTCCCCATACTCCGTGGATTTTGCTGCCCAAGTAATGGAATTACTTTAAACTAGCATGTCTGAACAAAAGAGTCTTTCATGATTTTAATTAAACTATTGAATCTTACCTGAGCCTTTCAAGAGAAGGTGACAGAATGAGGCACACAATGCACACAAACAGTATCCAGTGATGTTATCCAGCAGAGGTTTGCTTGAAACAAATCTTGGGTGCTTAATCTCTAGTTTTGACAGAGATGAGGGCTGTTAATTCCCATCAACATTGGTGGGAGAGAAGCACTTACCTACTTTAAGGATGTTACCCTTGGCTCATTCAAATTGCTTAACTGACCAAACCAGAGCACTGCTATCACCAGTTTATTTATCTGCAGCCCTGAGAAATTCAATACACATAGTTTGTGCAGCCGGATTACACACAGACTCACAATTAGGATACAATGCAAATAATTTCTTGGAAAAATCTCTAGAATAAAGACAGATAATTGCTTAGTGAACTCTGTGAACAAAACAAAATACGGACTTTCTTTTTTTTTTTTCCCATTTTAATCTGCTTCTTAGTGTATTTGTCTTTGCAACCACACATCCCTTCAGAAGGTATTTAGGATTCAATAGTGGAACACTTACAGCCAGACTTACCACAACATACTGGAGGCCTGAGCAAGAAGGAACACTTTCCCCTCAGACTCAGCTAACAGAAATTCATGTTAGAGTACATGAAGTACAACAAAGCACAATAAAATGTGTGAATAACAATGTTTTCATGAGCATATGATCAGAGTAAGATGCTGCCCACCCTTACACTGTGGACCTCACCACCTCCTCTTTCCACACTTTACCCCCAGTGCCTTTTTGTGTCTTATCTTAGCAGTCACACTCTTGTGCAGCCTCTTACATTTTACTTCATCTTTTTCCTTCTTTTGTTTAACTTCTCATTTTTTAAAATCACCACCTCCTTGGAAACTCTTGAATAATAAACAGAGAATCAAAAGCAACTGCAAGAAAAGATCAGATAGTTTCCTTTGCATTTCACATTGTAGCAAAAATTAATTTATCATATTACAGTACTGGAGTTTACAGGTGTGTCAGAAACAGGAGGAATATTATTTGCTGCCTGGGTCTGATTTGACTGTAAATTCTTTGGGGTAGAAGCTACGTGTTCATTTCCATGAACTGGACTGTGATAGCCTTACTACTGTATAGGAAATCTTGCTCCTTTAATAGGCTTATGTACATAAAAGTATTGTAATCTCATCCCATATTTGCAAGAGGTTGTTAATGTCTTTCCACACAAATGCACCTTTGGGGACTGAGCAGGGGGAGAAAAGCGCCTTGGGGAAGGGTGTGACCTGCTACAAGGGACTCTCCTCCCTCCTTCCATCCCATACTTCTCCATTTCTGGTGAGCAACCTCACTGGCTGCAGGCAGCAGGGCTTGGAACTGTCATTTAGCTTTGTTCACTACAAGCTGCAGTCATACATTTTGAGTTGTAGTTTTTGAGATTAGCGAGAGACACATACCACCATCATCCAGTGAAAATATAAGAGTGGAGAAGGCAGATGAAAAAAGAGACTTTGTGTTTGTTCCTGTCTTTTGTTTGAGTTTTTCCAGCTTCAAGCAGCTGTAACCTTAATTAGAATTTACAGGACAAATAATAAGCAGCACCTTCTATGAGGAAAAAAACAGGGAGAAAGTAGAGAAGCTGAAGAAATTCATTCATTGTCCAAATGGCTGAATTAGAAAAACTAGCCTTCTTTTAAAAACATGGTGTGACTGCAGACAGGCATGAAATAGTTGTGGCCATAGTCTTTACCTAATAAGGTCTTATTTCAAAAATTCTTGGCATTTTCATGTTTGGTTAGTTCACTTTGAAACACAGAATTTCTTTCAGAATTTCTTTTATTTCTTTAATGATTTCTAAGTCTTCTTTACAGTGTGCAAGTTGAGTAGAAGTTAAATTTAACTTTGCTTTTGAATGCAAAATAGATAAGGATCAGAAGAAATATAGAGAAGGCCTCCTTAAAATTAGCAGTTAGTTTCTTCCTTGGGAAACAATTAGGCTAGGAGTTATTTTTTTCCAAGGAAGCAAGACTGATGTTGTGATTACAGTATTAGGTCTTACCAACATAAAGAATGTCCGCCTCTCATTTTCAGGAAGAGATTATTATTTTAATCTTTAAGTGGACTTAGTGCATTTATAATCAATTCCTTGAAATAAACCAACATCTGTTACACCTAAACTGAGATTATAATGTCCACCTAGAAACTCATACCTGTTGTAGCTAAACTCACATAACTTTCTTGCTTATTTAAAACACCAGGAACTTCAGCCAGAGACTGGATAAACTGATGAACAAGGAATTACAGCTTCAGAATCATTTTCTATCAGAAGCAATGTCATTGTTTAAAAATCTGCTGACAACTTTGTCCCAAACACTATAAAGTCATGTGCCACTCCCTTCTCTCGTTTCCAGCTCATCTCTAAAAAATTATGAAAGCTGAAATCTGTCATGTTCAATCAGAGAGCGGCACGTTGACAAGGGCAGTGCATGCTGTGAAGCTGTGGAAGCTGCCCTATACTGCAGGTAAGGACTGCACACTAATTAATGCCCTTGGTTTAATTCTTTATTCTGAAATACTGCACTACCATCAGAGGTGAGATATTAAAACAATATGATAATTCTTCTTTTCACAACAAGCAACATTCAAATAAACTCTTTACAGGAAGGGCAAACAATGCATACAGTTTCAGACTCAGTCTCTTAAGTATGTTCCAGTGATTTGCCTGCAGGTTTCTGCTACAGGTAGCAACTGTAGCTTTGTACAAACCATTTTTGTCCTATTAAATATGAAGGTTAGAGCAGTAGGAGCTGCAGAAAGAACAGAAGAGCATCATGCACCCTCTCCTTTGAAGTCACTTGGCAATTTCACCAAATCACAGATAAGCAGACACAAAAGAAACCTCTTCCCCATATCTCTTCTACCCTCCATCTGCCAAGGAATGCTGATCTCCTCTGATTTTCTTTCCAGTACTCTGGCTTCTTCCACCTTAGTGCATCTGCCAACCAGCTTGGGCTCTTCACTGAAGATCCTGTGGAGCAGGAAAATGTTTTCTGCTGATTGTCATCCTATACTGTGATGTCCAGACTTTTGTTGTTGGAAAACCATGGTAACATCAGTCAGTCCTCTCACATTATATAGTAAGTAATATGAGAGAGCACTTACCTTTTGTATAGAAGCAATATAGACCTTAATCACGTTATTTCTTTAGCTGTCCCAACTATTCAGTACAAAGTAGATAGGATGTTCCACAAGTGTGTCATACTTGTGGTTAATGATGCTCCAGCACTCAGGCAGATCATTCTTCCTGGTGGCGAATAATGTATATTGATCTCTGTTGTCCTGCCTTGAGGCCTTGAACCGATAGTAATGGTGTGCTGAGACAGCTGCTCCCAGGGACTAGCCTTTGTTTATTTTGTTCTCTAATCAAACCCATAAGTATGACAATAAAGAGCATCAGTTTCAATACAAACACCTAACGCATACCACAACTAGGCAAAGTTTAGGCTCTCTGTAATACACTGATTTGTTTTTCTGTTCAAATAAATAAATGTAGCACAAATGTTTTTCCATAAAAAGAAAGGAACAGCAAGGAAGAAAGGCTGGAGTTTTCAGGTTGCCTGCCCATACACTGAAACATCCCCAACAGCACTGTCACCTAGATAGGCAAATACAGCACTTCACTCAAGTGAAGATGTGGCCGAGCACTGGTCAGGACCACATGAGCTATATCTCTGCATACTCCAAAGCTCCTAGAATGGATCTCTGCTACAGACCTTTTTTGTGGCATTAACAAAATCTCTGTGGTTGCGTAACTGTTAAGGCCCTTCAAGGTGGCTCTTCAGTAAGGAGAAATCCAAAATACCCTGTTCTTCTTCCTTTCATTTGTTTATTTATTCATCCCTGACTGGAGCTTGGATTTTTCATTCTAAGTTAACGTGTTTATAAAGAGTAATTTTATTAGCATCTGTTACTTACTTTTCATTCAGTCATTAATTTTCATTAAACATTCACAGATAAATAAGTGTCTGGCATACTTTATTGAGGTGATTACACATAAAAATTTAAAAATTGAAACCTGCCTCTTGCAATGGGGAATAATTTTTTAAAAGATATTGTAACCAAAACACACAGTCAAATCTGAGAGGGGAAAAGTTGGAGAACACCAATCCTAGACTCAAATTAGAAATGTTTACGTTAATGTTAAGATTACCATGTAGTGACCTATGCACCAGGTCAAGTGAATGTGACAGGGCTGTATCATGTCTCTGCAAAACAGTATTCAAAACCCCTCTTTCCCCATAGAGTGCTTTTCCTAGTATATCCAAAGCAGCATGCACGATACACCTCAGTCCAAGCTTTCCTCTTTTAGCTTGGAGTTTCCTACAGTCTCCTTTCAAACTTTTCTTTGTTGCCTAATACCAGTTTCATCTTTCCAGAGGGACACTGTGACCTGCTTTGACCAATGGATGGAGTTAATACAGGACCAAATGTAAAGCCTGATTGGAGAGAAGTACCTGAGAGACCTTCTGTGCCCCAGAAAATTTTTCTAGATGAGAGACCTTTTTTTATTACAGAGAAGTATCAAGGGAGTACAAACACCTCTCTGAAAACCACAAGTTATTTTGGCAATTTTTTCAGGCAGGGAACCTGAAGAAAAGGAACTCAGAATTCACAAAGAAATTTATTGCTGAAATCTACAGAAAAAAAGCTGATAGATAAGAGAGGTAAACTGCGGGGAGAACACCATTCCTGCTCCGTGCATCACATCACTACAGATACTTTTCTCTCTTGATGTTTCTGCAGTAAATACTCTGATCATGTTTTTGCTATTTATTCTACCCACTTGCTCTGTGCACTTTAGTCTCTCTGGAAGGCCCTTGCATGTGGCCCTAGTTGTTTCCCTATCATTGTCCTGTTACGAAGTATCAAAGTGTGGTTGATCTTGATGCCGGAAACACAGACAGGATGCTTAGTAAAGAAACAAGAACTTAAAAACATTTAAAAGAATTTATGGAGTCACTTCTGGGATCTCCTTCTGCCAAGGATGCAGTCATCGAAGATCTCCTCAGTGCACTCACAGACTACATGTTCCATTTGTAGGGAGGGGTGGAGGGATACTTTCCATGTACTGAAAGGATCATCTGTCTTGGGATTTCTGTGAATTTTAGAGATGAGAGGACATAGCACAGAGATATAAAGTGTGAGCATTTCTGTCTTCTTGAGAACACGATTAATCCTCATACTTATGCTCTGAAATAAAACTAGTTACACCCATAGAAAAAATGCAGCCATGTGCAGAGCTTGGACCACATTTTCAGCATGCACCTGAGCTGAAGATTCTCCTGACAAAGCCCAATTTCTCTACTGGTTGTTCTTGAATCAGCTGATATCATAGGCCCAGTGTGAATATTAGAGGAGTTGAGCTCTGTACATGTGCCCAAATTCATCCATTTTTATTCAGCTCAATAATTCCACCACAAGTCATCTCTGCTGCTACTCCTTACTGAGCCATCGTCCAGCCACACATAAAAGTTCACTCCCTGAAGCAGCACTTGTATTCAATTTCCCACAGAGCTCTGGTTTAAGTGGGAAGAAGAGAATGGTCCTGCAGGATTTTGTTTTTCAGTGTTATGGCTTATTTTAAATGAAACAAACTCAAAAATGCAGTGTGCTTTGCAGTGTAAGAAGTCTTACATAGCCTTTTAAAGAAATGGCAGCAAGTGCTGTCAGAGCTCTGTTTCATATTGACAAAGTAGTTGATTCAGAGAGTAAGGAGATGACTAGATATCAGAAATCAGGAGAGAGATTTTCTTGCACAGTTACTGAGTGAACATTCACAGAGTCCTGAAGTTACAGGAAACTCCTGATTCATTATCTCCATATCCACGGAGTAAGCAAAGGGTTGTAACAACTCTACTTCTAATGGTGTCCCATGTTATGTTCGGTCACGCAATTGAGTCTGTGGTTCACAGGTTAGTAGGGTGCCCTCATGGCAAATCAGGTAATATCTACTTTTTCTTCCTTCACCAAAATATAAGCTCAGTGTTTTGCATATGTTGCTTCATGCTCATTCTGTTTAAATCAGCCTATTAATTTTTGTACTATGCAGTCATTCTCAAGACAGGCATGACCTCAGTCTTTTATTATTTAATGACTTTCCCTTTGTGGGACAACATAGAGCTCTTCCATGTTGCTCGTCACTTGGAAAAGGACCAACTTCATGAGTTGGTCTGAATGAGGAGGGGGGAAAAGGAAAAAAAAATGCCTTCTTTATTGTTTTTTAGGTATTGAAATCTAGTCTTGCCTTCTTCAGGCTGGAGAAACTCCAGATAATTTCTGCCGGTACAAATATGAATGATACGCATCTACTAATCTAAACAGTGGCACAGCAAATTGTTCAACCCTTGTCTGAAGCACAGTTTCTTAAGACAGTGAGGTGCTATCCTCTTCAAAGCAGCTTCAGGGCATTAGAAGGGTTTCAAGAGAAACAGGACAGATTGAAGCAACAGTCATAATCTCATCTTTTCCCACTACTATTTATTGCCAATGAAGTGTTCCTATGCATCTGTAATGGCTCACATTTCTCTGGGGGACAGGAAGCTTTAGTGTCTATTTCCAGTGAAACAACTTCTAAAAAACAGTCTGAATGCATAATTTTGACCTCAGCATTGAAAGGTCATTTCCGTGCAGACTCAGAGGCCAAGTGAAGTTGTCAGGTGAGACCAACTGTAAGACTGGCAGATGAAACCTTTCTGTTTCAGTAGGTCAGGGCAAACTGTGAGGAGAGCAGGCTGCTGTCTACAGCACAAGAAAGGGCCCAACCCTGCTGCTGGCTTTGCCTGCCTGTGAGACCTAGAAAACCCTGAGCAGCTGCTGTGGCCATGGGAGGCCTGGGAACATGTGGACAGGGTTGGGGCTGGTCAGACTCAGCAGCAGCAGCAGGCACTGCTCCCAAAACTCCCACCCAAACTCTTCTCCACCCATACATCGCTGTCTCCCTTCCCCTCCTTCCCTCTGGTGGGAGCAGCCTGACCTGGCCCAGCTTTGATGCTTTGTTCAGTTTCGCCTCGGTCCAAAGATCCAACCTACAAAATAGCAGGAGCTGAGAAAGATAAAGGAGCTGTGTGGTCCTGACAGCGGTGGACCCATTGCAGATGGCCTCACCTGGGCAGGCCACTCAGTCGAAGTTCTTGAGTTGGATTTTAACAGCTGGGTCAATCTGAATGCTCATTGCTCTCTCCAACCACTGAACACTCCTCCTTACAAATAAAGGCTTATTGTACATTGCTCACAGAGGTAGCCGCCAGCACCCTTCCCATGCCGATGGGTTGGAATGAGCCACTGGGCCATGCAAGGGAATGCCATGTCATGGCACTGATGTCAAGCAGGACCACAGGGCAGCAAGCCCTTCTCAGCCTCCCTCATGCACACCAGGAGCACCACCAGCACACCGGGAGCCCACTGCGTCTGCACCGGCCCCACCTGAAGGAGAACCCAGTGGGCCTCTTGCCCGCGATTCGCGGGGCTGCGCTCTGTCCCAGGACTCCGGGTCATCGGGAGAGGGGGAGCTCTTCCTCAGGGGCCCGGCCCTCTCCTCCCATCCGCTCGGGAGCGGCCGTCGGCCGGCTCGGGCAGGGGTCGGGAGCAGGGGCTGCCCCGAAGGGACCCGCTGGTGGCGAGGGGCGCCGCGCCGGGCCGGCGGCTCCCGCTTCTGCTCGGCCGGGGGGCTGGAGCAGGGCGGGGGCCGGGGCCGGCCGGCCGGGTAGAGGGGAGCGGCGCCTCGGCCGGAGGGGGGTGCGGAGCCGCTGTGGAGGGCGGAAACGGGGTGGGGGGATTTGCGTCAGTGAGGGAGCTGGGAGCGGGCGAGGGCGGGCGGGACGGACGGAGGGACAGACGGACGGAGGGAGCCCTCCGAGAGGCACCGGCCCGCCCCGCTCGCCCGCCGCCGCTGCCCGCCGCCCCATGGAGCTGTGCCCGGGGCCCGCCGTGCACTGGGGATGGGCGCTGCCGCTCCTCCTCGCCCTGGGCGCCGGGCTCAGCCACGGCACCCCGCACCTGCCGTACTCCCGGCCGGGCTCCCGCAGCAAGTGAGTACCGCCCGCCCGGAGCGGGAGGCGCTGCCGGCGGCGGGGCGAGCTGGGGCAGCCCGGGGTGCCGGTCCGGGCGAGCTGGGCCGGCGGGAGGACTCTCTGACGGGCGCTGTCTTTCCACCCTCCAGGAACTGGTGCGCCTACATAGTGAACAAGAACGTGAGCTGCTCGGTGCTGGACGGGACGGAGAGCTACATCCAGGCCCAGTACAAGTGCGCTTGGAACCAGTTCCCCTGCCAGCCGACCCCGGTGTAAGTAGCCCAGGAGGCGACCTCGGGAGGGCAAGCGCTTGGCCACCCACCGCCAAGCCCCGGCAGGGAGGTGGTCGCTGCGCCGGCGCTCGGGTGGTTCCCGGCACCCCAAAAGCGCAGAGTCGGGACAGGAGGGCGCGGACCGCCCCTGGTCCCCAGCACGCCCCAAACAAAGCGCGCTCTCATTGCAAACATCAGGCGGCCGGAGCTAATTGGAGCCAGATTGAATTGTTGGGCTGTGCAGCCAGCCCGCCGAGAAGGAGCTGCGCTGGCACACCTCGTCGGCGTGGTGGGGCGTGCAGGCAGGCGGAAAGCACGCGGGCTGCTTCCCATGGACGGCGGGAACGCCAGGATCTGCCGGGAGCGCACCTATGTGCTGCTGGGAGCGCCCCTACGCACCCTGGCCCAGAGCTGTCAGGGTACAGCCACGCTCAAAACCGGTTTTATGGTTACTCTGTGTTCCTGGATCAAGAGAGAGCCAGGAACGTGAGCCAGCTGGTTTACAGTCTGTGTATCCCTGTCGGTTGCCCAGCAAGGGGAGCTGCCAGTGCAGAGATTTTTACGGGGGGTTATATAAAGTTACTTTTTTGATTTTAAGCTTTATGAGTGTGACCACGTGCTGGTCTGCAGAGTGACCACCTACGGCACGCTGTGCTGCAGCAAGGCTGTGTGAGCCTGCAGGTACCATCGGCGTCAGGGAACAGATGTATCCCACTTACCTTCTGGCAAATCTCATGCAAGTCCCCATTCCTCAGTTTCCCACTTGAGAAGCAGTAATATTTGCATGTTTCTGTTTGAAAGCTCTTAGTGATATGCACTCTGTGAAAGCGTTTCACCTCTCCCAGAAGTCAGTGGAAGGACACCCAGAGATTTTCGTAGGCTCAGACTTGGGCTGAGGTGATGATGAGGATTGTTTTAGAGTAAAACTTCAGTAACTAGTTTTTATTTTGACATGGAACAGTGAGAATGAAACTTATACTGCTGTATCCTGGGTACTACTGAAATAAGACTGTGGACATTGATGACACTGCCACCCTGGGGCCCATGACAATAGGTGTTGGGTGTTTGGCATTCAAATGCACCGCTTTCTGTCTGTTTGGGTTGCTATTTTCATTAAAAAAAACAGCTTTTCTCTATTGGAAAATATAAACACTGGAATTTGAGGGGAAAAAACAAAGACAGCAGACAGCTGAGTAACATTCTCTTGTGTAATATCCCGTTTCTCTTTGAGTGTTGAACTGGCCATTTTGGACTTGTGACTGAGTTTATGGACTGTGTAATGGGGTGTGCCCTCTATCTTGAGAAGTCTCCGTAGTAGAGCTACAGAGGAGTGAGGAGTGGTTGAAACTGAGCTCTTTAAACATATAAATCACCAAGCGTTGAGATAAGGAATTTCAGAGGCAGTAAATTAGGACTTTCGTGGACTATTTGCTAGTAGATAATGAAGAAAGTGCAAGGGCATTGCTTCTAGCTCAGGAAATTCCTGAACTGAAAATGTTTGAGTGTGTGAGGTCTTTCGCAGGAGTAAGAAGGGGAAGCCCATCTTGAGCAGGGGGCTGGACTGCATGACCTCCAGAAGTCCCATCCCTTTCAGATTTCTCTGTGGTTCTGTGAAATGGCATTGTCTGTCCTTGTGCTTCGGAACATCTGGAGTTGGCTGCTGTCAGAGAGAGACTATGGGGCTAAACAGGCATTTGGTCTCGCCAGCTGTGTCCAGTCTCATGGGGTTTTTTTGTTCTTTTGAGAATGGAATTAGATACTTATCATAAGACTTTGTTGCCTCAATTTGACTTTCTTTGTTGAACATCTATTATTTTCTTCGTAACTGTAATGGCAACTGCAAAACAATTCCTTTTTCTTAACATAAAATATTTTAAGCACCTTACACAGCACTGGC